TTGGTTTGTTTTCTGTCGGTCGTGGGACTTGAACTCTGGGCCTGGGCACTGTCCCTCAGCTCTTCAGCTCTACCACTTGAGCCACAGTGCTCCTTCTGGTTTTCTAATGGTTTATTGGAGATAGGAGTCTCACAGTCTTTCCTGCCCGGGCTGGCTTTGAACTGCGATCCTCAGATCTCAGCCTCCTGAGCAGCTAGGCTGACAGGCGTGAGCCACCGGCACCGGGCTTCCCCTTCATCTCTTAAGTCACCTGAGCACAGGTCATGCTACGAAGCCCACAGGGGTTCTCCGATCTCTTCCCCCCAGCTCTGCTCTCTCCTCACCAGAAGGCCTTTCCTGGCTGAAGGTGGACATAAATGACCATGTGCAAACCTAGCAGGGCTGGAAAGAACGTAACCATAGTTCCTGGGTCTTTATGCCAACAAACATTTCTGGGGCTTATCAGGGCTCAAACGGGCTCGCGTGTCGCTCTCAATCTGCGCTACATTTAGGCACTGGCCTCGCCTGGCCTAGGCCCTAACCTGTCTCGGAGCACCCGGGAAGTGCTGCAGCGCTCTTGGATTGGTCTGGGGCCATCAAGGATAAAAACAAAAACAACGTCCTCCTTTCTAATCTTTTTCTCTGGCTCTGCCTGCCACGCAGCAGGAAGCAGGAAAGGACATTCTGATTAGACAAGTTTTTATCATCTCCAGCAACGCCATTTGCTTGCTGTGTGACCTTAGACAAGCCCCTATGCCAGGATCCTCCACTAGACCACACACACACACACACACACACACACACACACACCCCTACACACACACACACACCCCTACACACACACACACGTAGCAATTATAGCACTTTCCTCCTGGGGTAGAAAGAAATATAGGATCTGTTGAGTAATGAGTACAACACCTTCCAGAACTTTCCATGGGAGATCACACAGCCAAGTGTGGGTGCAGGGTCAGAATCCAGGCAGAGTGGGGGGTCCTAGGAGGTGACTGCTCAGGGCACCAGCTGGTCCTCCCAGGCTTAAAGGACTTTTGCTTTTCAGAATGCTGAGAATGTCGTTGGTCCTGGCTCTGGGCCTCTTGGTAGCTGCACTGGGCCGCCCACGTGGCACACTGGACAGGGAGATCCCAGTCCAGGACAAGCAGGTGGAGATGCTCAGCACCATTGCCTCTAGCAACACCAACTTCGCCTCCCAACTCTACAAGCTGTTGGTCTTGAAGAACCCTGGTAAAAATATCATCTTCTCCCCCCTAAGCATCTTCACTGACTTGGCCTTCCTGGGTCTGGGAGCCCAAGGAACTACCCTGGCAGAGATCCTGAAAGGCCTGAACTTCGGCCTCCCAGAAAGCCGTGTGGCCGAGATCCACCAGGGTTTCCAGCACCTGCTGCACATGCTCAACCAGCCCAGGGACCAGCTACAGCTCAGCATGGGCAATGCCATGTTCATCCGAGAGCAGCTGGAGGTGCTGGACACGTTCCTGGAAGACGCACGCACTCTGTACGAGGCCCAGATAGTCCCCACCAACTTCAAGCAGCCCGCAGATGCTGAGCAGCTCATCAATGACTTCGTCAGGAACGAGACCCAAGGGAAGATCGTAGAGCTGGTCCGGAACCTGGACCCAAGGACGGCCATGATTCTGGTGAATTACATCTTCTTAAAAGGTGAGCACCTGGCTTGGGGTGGGGAGGAAACAGAGTTCTGAGCCCTTGGGGTGCGTCCTGGAGAGGAAGTGCTGGGGCTGGGGTGACACAGGTCCCAGGCTGCACCCAGCCCACAGTCTGCTTCATGGGGGTTGTGGTTCCCAGACAGAGCTTTGGGGTGCCTCATTAACCAAGACTCTGCTCTAAACTTGCCCAGTGGACAGCAGGTGCCAGCCCTCCTTGCAAATCCCTCTGGAGTGAGCAAGATCCACACTGTTTCCTACAGAGCAGGACACGGAGGGAAAGCCCCTGCCTGGGATAACCTGGACACCTCTGACCGGCTCATGCGGGAGGGGTCCTGTCTCTGCTGAGTCCGAGGGCTCAGGTGGGGGTAGAGGGGCCATCTCCATGAGGAAAGACAAGGAGGCCCCTAAGGAGCCTTAGCCACCCTGAAGTTCTAGAACTTTGCTCTTCTCACATGGGGAAGAGCCTCTGGAAGGACCAGGCCCATGGTCTGGGGTCCTTGGCTTCTGATCTCACTGATAGGAACCCAGCAATGCCAATCTCGTCCCATCAGGGGTGTAGGGACAACCTTGGCCTGAAGGACAGCACCTGTGACAGAGTGCTGGGCCAGAATGACTGACGGGGGGAGGAGGGAGAAAGCCGGGAGCTGACCCCGCCATGCTATGGGTACACGGTGCCTGTGACGGAGCCATTCTAAGCCCGCAGGAGCAACACCCATCTGATTTCCCACAGATCAGAGAGCCACGTTGAGAGCCCAGAAGTTGAGATGGGAAACCCAACCCCACTGTGATATGACTGGGGTTGGGTCTGAAGCTGGACCTGAGATAGCCCAGAGCAGAGAGATGGTAGGTTCTCCAATTACAGCCAAGAAACCAGTAAGTCATCAAGAGAAAAATGCAAGTTAGGAGAGAGGACAGGGGCCTAGCTGGGCCCACAGCCCAGCGAAGACTGGCGAAGACTGCAGTGAATGCCAGGGGTCTCTTTACCTCACCAACTTACAGGTAGAGCTCAGTCTCTGTCTTTCTGCTCCTACCAAACCCCACAAGCCATCGGCAGGGGAGCAAGAGATTCAGGGTGCGGGGTTTGCGGGAGGTGGTAGGGGTACATCCTGCAATTTCTGTGACTCATAATTACTTTCTAGGCATTGTTCATGATCAAGAACCCGGGGTTCCCTGCTTCTCCCCAGCCTCCAGCACCTTTTGGTGTCCTACCCCTTCCCCACCCCCCACTTTCTCTAGCCCCCATCTCTTTCATGGACTCCTGATTCCGATTCCTACTGACTTCTCATTTAGCACAAATAACCATGTCTTGCTCTCACAACCCCCTTTCCATTCCAGATGTGTGGGTGTCTCCCTACCCCTTTTCATTTGCCAAAGCACTTCTCCAAAACCAGCCACGCCTCCCCCCTAGGAGGGACTGTGGGTAGCTGTGGATGGCCTAGCATGATCACAGTTCTGAAGCTGGGCCGAGATAACGCTCTCATGGTCTCTGATCGATTGTTTGCCTTTAGCCAAGTGGGAGATACCCTTTGACCCCCGCGATACCTTCGAGTCCAAGTTCTACTTGAGCAAGACCCGATCGGTGCAGGTGCCTATGATGACTGTTGAGGACCTGACGGTGCCCTCCTTCCGGGACAAGGAGCTGTCCTGCACGGTGCTGGAGCTGAAATACACAGGCAACGCCAGTGCACTCTTCATCCTCCCCGACCAGGGCAAAATGCAGAAGGTGGAAGCTAAGCTGCTCCCAGAGACCCTGGGCAAGTGGAAGAAGAACCTGAAGCCCAAGTGCGTTCACGCCCCTCCCCCAACCTGGCTGCGTTCACGCCCCTCCCCCCAACCTGGCCTTGTTCTTGCCCTGCCCCCCCAACCTGGCTGCATTCACGCCCCTCCCCCACAACCTGGCTGGGTTCACACCCCTCCCCCACAACCTGCCTGTGTTCACGCCCCTCTCCCCCCAACCTGGCTTCCCAATTCCCAGCTTGCAGGGACTCCGTGTGTCTCATCTCAGGGCATCAGCCATACCTGACGCTCAGCGGTAGGAAAGTCACACAGGGACCAGAGGAATCAGAGGTTATTTTGCCCTCTGCTGCCCGACCTGGTGGGTTTTCTTCCTTAGTCAATGACAAGGAGATGAGGCTCTCATGGCTTCTAGCATATTCTAAGTCCAGGAGCAATTTCCAAGGCAATCCCAACACACATGTGTGGGTAAAGGTAGAAGGGGATAGAGCACTTCCGCCAGTTGAGGGTGAAGCCAATCAGGCTCCAAGAATCAGCTTTGCACGGGTGGACCGTTACATTCACCTATGACCCATTCAGTTCAATTCTGCACCAACTGAGTGATTAAGCCCCTACTAAGCTGGGCACTGGTGGCTCATGCATGCAATCCTGACAACTCCGGAGGTTGAGATCTAAGGATCAAGATTCGAAATCAGCCCAGGCAAGAAAATCTATGAGATTATTATTTCTAATTAACCACCAAAAAGTTGGAAATGGAGCTGTGGCTTGAGTGGTAGAACAATAACCTTGAGCTAAACAACTCAGGGACAGCACCTAGACCCTGAGTTGAAGCCCAGGACTGGTACACACAAAAATTAAATACTTATATACCAGGCATAGATATAGAACCTAAGATTATATTAGAGACAAAAACACAAAATTTTCTGATTTCCTGCACTGGGTAGTTTATCTTGTAATTGGGAGAAGAGACGGGGAAGAGAGAGACACAGACAGACAGATAGACGGTCATAAGTCAGTAAAGCATTTGGTAAATTAGGTGAGAACAGGGAAGTCCAAGGGTCAGGGGAGCTGGAGCTGGAGGGAATTTGTAGTTGTTAAATAGCATGGCTGCTAGGTGATGTTCAAATTCCTCAGGTCAGAGGTGATAGGAAGTGACAGAGTCACTTGGAAAAGCCATCCCAAATCAGGGAACAGCCAGCACAAGGCCTCTAAGGCCAGCAAGCCCAGCATGTTTGTGTTTAACCCTCTGTCGGATAGCTGCAGTCCAGGAGGTGAGGAGGCAGCAGGAGAGGTCAGGGCCATGCAGAGCCATGGAGACCCCTGGAAATCCCTGGCCTTGCTCCTCTGAGGTTTTCCAGGAGTGATGGACCTGGATGCCGTTGTAAGGAGATCTTCTGGTTACTTGGTGGAGACCAGACTGTAGGGCCAATCATGGGACAGGAGAGACCAGCCAGGGGGCTCAGGCAGAGCCAGTGGGGGCAGCACTTCAGACGGACCCCTAATGTATGAGTAGCAATCAAATCCTGGATAAATCTAAGCCAGGCCAGGCCATAGAGCCAAACGAATAGTGAAGGAAAGCAAGGCAGAGAAGACGTTCTAGGCCCAGGCCCTGCAGTGGGACACAAGGAGACATGGCTGCCACCCTTCTCTGTGGTCTAACTGCCCGCTGAAAAGGAAGGCGGGAATGGCACTGCATCCTGGTCCTTAAAAGGTGATGATTGGAATTCCATGATGTATTGGATGTGGAGGGCTCTTCACAAACCAAAAAGGCAAGGACCTGCTTCTATATGAACCAGCCCCTGCTCAGATAGCTGGGCCCCTCCTGACTCCCGGGAGCCCCCAGGACCTGTGGTCCCACCCACTCCTCCATTTTCTCCCTCTGGATTCTCCCTTCTCTTCATCTCCAGTGTACAGATCACTGGGGGCTGCGTCTTCACGTGCCCAGCCCACAGTGGTGCTCATTGTGTAAATCAACGAACGTGAGGGGGTACCGCCCCCACCTCCACAGGAGACACAACCTCCTCTAATTCAGCAGCCCTCAGGCCAGGCAGATGCTGACCAGAGCACTTGAGACAGAGGGTGACACCTCACACCTTGTGATGGAAGATGCCACCTTGTGCCCTGAGAACTTGCTGCCTGGCACGCCCAGCCTACGCATCCAAGCACAAGCAGGCCCAGCACTCAGGGAGGGGGTGGCTCGTAGACACCTTTGGTGGAGGGGTTCAGAGCTCCAGCCCATCTCCAGCTCAGTCAGACCCCTTGTTTGCAACCAGGACCTTCATGTCTTGACTGTGGTCCCTGCCCAGGCTCATCCTCCTCTCTCTCTCTGGTGCCTCCTACAAGAAGCCTTCCTGTTGTCTATGGGGCAGGCGGCTGTGTGCCTGCCCTTGTGAGGTACTGCAGGGTTCGTGGTAGAGTGAAGGCCCCTCTGCTGCTGCGCAAAGGCCTGGAGCAGGCTTGGGCAGGGCTCCAGCCCCACGCTGGCACACTGCCTGGCACATTCGGATACTCACAGGTATTGCCAGACAGTGGGTGAGCTAAGAAGAGCAATGCAAGAAAGGGAACGGATGAGTCTTCTCTCCAGAGAGAGAAGGTGACAGTGTAGGAGCTCACCTAGCCCGCGCTGGGAGATGGAGATGCTAAGGCACGTGGTGTTCAGCTGCTTTTATTTCTTCTTCTCCAGGGACATAGATGAGCTCTCCCTGCCCAAGTTTTCCATCTCGGACAGCTACGAACTGAAGGATATTCTTTCCCAGCTGGGCATCAGGGAAATTTTCTCCAGAAAGGCAAACCTGTCAGGGATCACAACATGTCGTGAGCTACTGGTCACCAAGGTGAGCTGTCAGCTCCACGCCTGAGCTTGAATGGGCCCGTGAACATTCGGGGAGGGGGAGTCTGGAATGTGTACACACACCTCCATTTCCCAATATCCAGTCACCTGCCCTGGGCACACCCACCCCAGAGAGAACCAGGCTGCTGCCCAGATCCTCCTCCTGCCGTAAAGCAATGCCAGCTAGTCCCAGCCCCGCCCCTCCCCCCTCCAGAAGCCCAGCATGGAGAAGAGCCTGGCCTTGGGCTGGAACAGCTACAGGCGCCAGGCACACCCCACTGTGGGGACATAGGCCTTCCCCCGCCCCCTTCTCTTGTTTGGGGCCAGAATTCTTGGCTAGTACCCAGTACCCAACGGCTTAGTAGTAATGCTCAAAGGAGGTAGTGACCAGGATAATAGAGTACATATTTCACGCATGTGTACGAAAGCAGGGTGGGATCCTCTAACTGCATTTCTAGAAGCACAGTAGTGAAAACAATGGAGCACAACCCTGCGATGTGCCCCTGCCCCCATCCACATCCTGAGCCCTGGCCCCAGGGAAGAAGCAGGGTGTGCCAAAGTGGTCCCGAAGTGCAAAGCCTTGTCCCACGCAAAGCAGTGGCGCGCCCCCTAGAGGCCGGAGCAGGAGCGCTGCCCCTGGCCGGCCCCCGTGTGGCCACTTCAAGGTGGCAGCTGAGAGGAAGCCCGTGACCCCTCCTCTCAGCAGTGACCTTTAGGGGCAATGCAGTCACAGAAGACCTAGGTCAGGACGCCTCATCTTCACCTCTGTGACTCTGAGCAAATCTCTTCTGCCTCTGAGGCTAGTTAGTGGGAGGAACGGCACGGAGAGGAGCCAGTGGGCGATGCTCGGCACTGGGGCGTCCCCTAGTGGCGCGCGGGCCGGCTGCTTCCTCCTGCGCCCCTGGCTGTCACCAGTAACACTCTGACGTCCCCACAGGTGGTGCACAATGCTCTGCTTGATGTGAAAGAGGAGGGCACGGAAGCTGCCGCCGCCACAGGATTCAAACTTGTCCCTGTGTCTGCAAAGCTGAACCCCATCATTTTGCGATTGGACAGGCCCTTTCTGATCTACATCTTCCACAAAGACATCATTCTCTTTATGGCCAAAGTGGCCAACCCCAATCAAGCCCAGAGCTCCTAACTGAGCTGTGGGTCTTTCACAGAGGAGCAGGGCTAGATATCCAACAGGCAGGCCTCTGTGTGCAGCCCGCTCTCCATGAGCCCAGTGGCCATGGCCAGGCTGGGGAGGTGACAGCGACTGTCTCTGTGACAACTGCATGGTTCCATCTGGGTACAATAAACCATCACCCTGGGCCTGGACTCTGTCCCTGTGCCCCTTTCCTCCTGACCCCCTTGTTATTTCTGTGTCTAGCTGTCTCTCCCCTAAAGCCATTCCCCCAACCGCATGAGCAGCTCAATCCCAACCCAAGCTCTGGTCCCTCTGCCTTTAGCTTAAACAGCCTGATAGGGTCCACATGAGCTCCAAGTCAAATCCACTGGCATCTCAGGTCCAGGACTGAGAAGGGACTCTGCCGCTCCAAGCCCCTTCCTAACTCTGGAGCTACCTGTTTTCTTGATCCAAGTTCACTCTTTCCCTCTCGAGTTCCCCCAGCTTGTGTCATTACCTCTCGCTGGGGCTCTAGGCCCTGTTCCTACTTCTGGATCTGTCGCTCCTGCAGCTGCTGGGGACCAGCTTTTGGAAACCCCACTTCTGCTCCCCTACCTCCACCCCAGCACCTCCAGCTGGTTCTGAGTAGCTATTTCTGGTTTCATAGAATGAATTCATCTGATGAATGCCCTCTGATCTTGGCACCAGAACACAGGCTGGAGCCTAGGAGCCATAAGCACCCAGCTGAGCATTAGCGCCCTCTAGTGACAACAAAGGCAATGGTCATCATCACACCGTGGAGTACTTACTCCTAGAATTCTCCTTCCAGCCAACTTGAGATAACTCCTTGGGACCCTGTGATGAGGAAACTGCAGCACAGAGAAACCTGTAATTTCCCAAGGATATAGAGTTAGTCTCTGCTACCATCAGGGTGTTATCCCAACCTGAGGGAGGCCACGGGAGCCATGTGAACCACATGGGGTTCTGCTCCTGAGGACTGTATTTAGCAGAGCTGCTTATCTAATGGTGGCCAGGGGAAAAGAGGGAGAAAGAGAGAGGGGAGCTGTCCTCATGGATGTCTTCCTTTTTCTGTTTAATTCCAGCCAGTCTCCCCCAGCCTGTGGCATGGTGTCCCCACACTTAGGGCAATCCCCCCCCCAGCTCCTCTCTGGAAACACCATCACAGACACATCCAAAGAGGTGCTATTCTTTTCTTCCTCAATGCAACCAACTTGACTAGCAAATTAATGATCACATAATTTAAGTACGCAGAGGGGTTAGAGAGTGTTGTGTTCCCCACAACGTGTGCTCCACCCTTACCCTGGCTCACAGATGCTGCCGGATAGAAGTGAGTGGAAGGGACACCCAAAGGGTTTCCATGCCTCGTAGGCATGGCTTTAATCCCCACATCTGGGGCTCAGCAATGACTGACTTCTGAGTCCTCCAGCCAAGATGAGATGTTGGCACTGCCTCCCACTGGGTTGGAAGACATACTTTGTCCTGGCCATTTGGGGGATGCTCAGGGCTACCCAGGCTGACCGCTTTTATACAGCCCGGGCTACAACAGTGATTCACCCACAGAGGCTAAGTCTCCTCCAAGGCGTCCAGGCCTCCACGGGGGACCTCGGGCTACGGCTCTAGGTTTGGGGCCACTGCAACCTGTTCCTGTGACTCAAGATTTTCCAGTGACTGAGGCCTCTGTGAGGACTGCAGTAACTCAGCATCCCATTGTTCCCTGTCCCCACTAAAAGAATTGTTCTCAGGTGTATCTCCTGTGTATCTCTGGTCTGGCCAGGCCCCAGACCTCTCACCCCAACTCTGGAAAAGGATCCCCCTCAATCCACTGTGTGCTCAGATATGCACAATAACAAGAGCAGGCGGGACCCCTGCGGCCATCTGACACTGTTCCTTCTGGCCTATGAGTGCCAGCTTTCTGCTACAAGGAACCTCTTCGGAGCCCGTCCCTTCCCCAGCCCTCAGGAAGCTCACAACAGCAATCAGAGTAATGACGCGGTTGGTAGAAGGCTGGCCTATGAGTGAAAGTGCCAGATACCGAGTTCATGTCTTGGTCTTAGACCTAAAAAGAAAAGAAATAACCAACTCATTGGGGTTGGAGTTGTGGTTCAGTTGGTAGAACCATAACCAATGAGTAAAAGCATCAGGTGTCAAGCCAGAGGGAAGAGAAAGCAAGAAAGCAAGCAAGCAAGCAAGCAAG